ACTTCAGCTCCGTTTGTCCAACCTGAGCTCCGTCTATCGTTGGTGAGCTTCAATAATGTCGCAAAAGTTTACTCATGTGGACATTTCAGCTGGTAGCGGATGTTGTAGCTGCCATCGACGTCGGCCATAACTTCATGTGATTAATTTAGACTTAATGAATTATATTTTGTTGTTTTGTATAAATAAGCTTGAATGTTGTGACCTTGTTGGGGTCGGGTCCTTTACTTTAGATCAAACAGCACAGCTAACCCTGGTGCTACGAATGAGAGGACTGAAGAAGAGGGCAATGTCTTCTGTTGGACGTTTTCTCTCCTCAAGTTTATGCAACAACGAGGTATGAAATGTGCTGTTGTTTGTGTTTAGTATACATTTCTTTCACTGTGGTTTTCTGAACTTGTGCTCAGACTCTTATGTTTGTGTGTTTATTCATTCAGTTGTCACGGCAGTTAAAACGGCATTTATAATTGTCTGTATGAAGAACAACACCTCGTCGTCTGTAGAGGACCTGTGAAGGGTTTTGTTCTTTTTTTTTGGCATCAAACTGCCTCATCTTGGGCCAATATTGCTGCACAACATCAGCAGTAATGTGGGAAAAGCCTGATCCAAACCGCTTCACACAACTCCCAGCTCGCCTGTTAACGCACCTACAGGGTCCAGCCTACAAAGACCGACACCAGGACTTTTAGGGACCACAGTTCACATCCAAGCCAGACATTATTAGAAACAGAGATGATCGAAAGTGGCTGAACTGTCACACGCTGCGCATTCAAAGCTACTTTAATCGACTTTCCTCTTTGAACAAGCGGCACAGATTGGACTCATAATGACACATTTGTGGAAGAAGCAGCTGCCCTGTGACCCTCTGCTGCTTTCATGTGTTATATTATATATTATAAATACCACCGGGAAGGCTTTCCAGCATCTTAATGCCGGCAACGCACTTGTGTTTCCAGTCGCCTCTTTGTGTATTGATGAGCTCTGGACTTCCTTCCACAGCTGCTAAGATCTAACGTTGGTTCTGAATGCTGAGAAATCCTCATTAATGAAGGTTTTTAGAGATCGCTGCTGGATTTCATGTAGCAACCAGACTTCAGTCATTGAAGACATTTCTGAGTGGATGATGGGCTCTCTTTTAGAACACATTATTATCCAAACAGGTTCTGTCTTGAGTAGTTCTTTGGAAACACTTCTGTAGGGACGTTGTCCATCTGCATCCTGGTGTCTCGACTCTTTGCTGCCCAACCAGCAAAAAAACAAAAAGGTTGGAAAGACACTGAAAAGACGTCCTTGCCGTACGTCTGAACGATGTCAAACTTTGGTTGAAAAATGAAAGGTTCAGGTCGTTGGTAAGACGTCTCTATTAAGACGTCACTTTATCACCTTGTGTTGCATTATGGGTACTGTAGTCCCTCCCACTAAAAGGTTCGACCTGGCTTTCTATAATAATAATAATAATCATAATCATAATAATAATAACTGACCAGATTTATATGGTGCTTTTCTAGACACTCAAACACTCAATCATTCATTCACACACATTCATTCGGTTTCTGACTCGCCTAGATAGAAATAGCTAGCTAGCGAGCTACGGGACAAAATGGGACGGTCCAAATGCAACCCAACTTCAATGACTACATTTGGCTAAATCTAGGCTATGACGAACCAGATTGAGCCCAAAAAACCAACATCTGAATCACGTTGGGTGTTTAGTGGTTGATATCCACCCTGTTGTGAAGCACACACCTCTGTGTACTTTATGATGTGGTCTCTTGGTCGTCATTAAACCAGAGGAGGCAGCAGCACTTATCAACAGATGTCTGAATTCTACACAGGATTTGCTCTGAAGTCTTCCTGGAATAACCTTCACGACACTTTGTGGTTTCAGAGTTCAAAGCTCTGATCAATAGATGAGTAACTAAAGAGTCCGACTCCTCGGCTGGATTTGCTTTAATCCCCTGTTTTAATGCGCTTTCCTTATTTTTCTCTGTCAATTGTCATCGTGCTCAATCTTATAATCTTCTGTGACATTATGATGGTGTCTCTTCTTGGCCAGGTCTCCGCTAAACAGATTTACTTGAAGCGTTTTATTCTTCAATAGTTTGATGAGCCAGCAGGTTTTATCCCAGTGTTGCTGTTGTTGTTGTTGTTTTACAGATTTTAGTGAGTCAATAAACTGGGCTTCAGCGGTCGTATCATCCCGATACCATGGCAGGTGTTTTAAATCTGCTCAACTCTTCACTATCTGCCCAGAACCCGGCAGCAGACGGACAAACACAGCAGCTATCTGGTGAACACAGCGGAGCATCAAGAGCCAGGTATTTCCCTACAGAGCACACCGGAGCCAAGAGGAGAGCCAACGTGAGGTCTGACCAGAAACACAGACAGCAGCGCAGTAACTCGTCTGGAGAAACAGTTGATGTGCAGCCTGTTGCCAAGCAGACAAAGACGTCCAAAAACAGAATCAGATTTTCCTTCAGCTGGCATCAGAGGCGATGCACCGAAAGACGCAGAAGTTCAGACATGAATGTGACCGAACGGCGAGCTCAGCGGCGAGCTGTTGAATCGGACCGGCACCGTGTTCTCCACAGGAGGACGGTGGAGCCTCCGACAGCACGGGTGTCGAGAGATCATTACAGAAGCGTTTTTCTGTACTTTAATCAGATTTAGGGGGATGTATTAGCAGAAACTGGATGCAGCAGTATTGATAATAACACTGAGTTTCCGTCGGCTTATAATGAGCCCTTCATACCTCCACGGGGATCCGGTCCTCCTGTGGAGCTGCCATGTTCCCACTCGGGCTGTCGTGAAATCAGATTTTCATAAAGCAATTATCCCGACCACAGGAGCTCCTAACAGCAACGTTAATTCGTCTCAGTTTATGGTGCGTTTAGTCTGTTTTCAGCGAAAGAATTACACTCAGAAAGTAAGCGGGTGGAAAGAGAGACTGTAATCGTAGCTGTACAAAAGCATAAAAAGAATAAATAAAAACGAACAGTTGGGCTGAATGGAGAGTGAAGAAGACAAACAGACGAGCTTAAAAACAGAAGAGCTAAGACGAGCCATCAGTAGAGTCCCAGCTCAAACCACTGGAGCATCACCCAGGGCTGGATTATTGATCATATGATCACATATGTAAGATTAACGTGTCAGGGTTCCATTTTTAAATTATAAAGACTGTGGCTGTATTAGTGTTTAGAGACGTGCAGAATGGACGAACCAAACTCTGAGAGGAACCGTCAGCCATCATGAATCTGAAACCTTCCGACGTCCTTCACACTGGAGCGTGAAGCTCAAAGCACAGCGATGAACTGAGGCTTCACAGCTTCTTAGAAATGACCTGCACCGTTTATCAGAGCCACAAAGCTTTCTTTGTTCTTGTTGTTTTTTAACTTACCAACAGTCCTTTGGTAACGAATTATCTGTGGCACTAAAATTAAATTATGATGATATTTGCACAAAATAACTTTATTCTGTATGTCCCATTTTAAATAAGCGGTTTGCTCCAGATTCTGTATAAAAATAAATAAATAAATAAATAAATTCTGCATGAGCCAGAAGCGTCTTTGCTGCCACCAACAGTCATGTCACAGAAAACTCAAGGACTTTTCAGAGGAACTGGGCTGAAGGTAGGAAGGTAAAACATTTAATTTATTTAACCTTTGTTTAACCAGGTGGGGCGACTGAGAATCATTTACACTGACGGCGTGGCCACGAGGCAGCATGACAGGTAGAAGAGAGAGGAGAAGAAACCACAACACAGAAACAGATAATATGATTAGAAGCAGCATGTGGAGCCATCTTTCTTTCCCAGCATCGGTAGCACACGTGGCAAATGTTGAAATATTAAATACAACTTTCCTTATTCTTTTTATAGCTCATGGTGTTATAAGTCTGTGTTCCGTCCACTTCCAGCCGCGGTCGAACCTTTTCTGTGGAGGTGCAGGACTTTATATGGCAGTGAAGCATGAGCTGCAACACAAACTGTAAAACAGAAGAACACCTCTGATATAAAAGGCTTTGCTGTAAGGGTCACCAGGTGCTGACACACCAACGTCTCAGCGTCCGGTCCTGCACCGTGCGACCTTAACGAGGTTCTACAAAGCTCCGGCTCATGGTCACACATCCACTCAGAGCAACCCGGTGAAGCCAAAAGCAGAAACCAGCTGACTCCCGGCTGCCCACAACACATCCACCTGCTCTGCTTCCTCCTCCCGCCTGAACGTCCCTCTGACTCGTCTAAATCGTCCTTTTGTCGACTCGGCTGTCAGCCGTGACACATCTTGACAGCTCTTCTTTTCAAGTGTTGAAGTTTAAACTACTTTCATTTGAAATTCTTCAGAAACTGGATATAAAAGCAACAATGGCTCCTTTTTCTTTTCTTTTTCTTTTTTTGGGAGAGAGCTCTCTTGAGATCCTGAACTGTAATTTCACGAGGACGAACCGTAACCTCCTTCAGAGCTAAAAAAAAGATGGATTTTTCTATGAAACACCTCCGAGCTGCTCTTGTGGAAGGTTGATGTGTTATGAAAGCACAAAATCCCTGCCAGCAGATCGACTGAATTCATGAGCAAATGTGACATTTTTTTTTCAGCAAAGCATGAAAACCCTTCTATGTGGAAGCACATTATGACAGTGAAGGATTAAATCACACGAATCGTGTTTTTACCTGCTGCAGAAAGGCGACAAATTTGCACATGAAGTTGCCAAAGATCCAGCCGGGGAGGGGGTAGAGGGTGGCGGTGAACGGGACGCAGCACACCAGGAAGATGATGTCAGTGGCGGCCAGGTTCGCTGCACAAAGAGAGAACGACAGCAAAGGACGAGTGATGTTCAGTCACAGCGTTTGGTCGGTGCAATAGATAATGTCACATGGATTCTCTAATCATTCTACAGACAGGAAACCACCACTACCAGCCTTCTTCCTCTTATAACCAGTAACAATGTGGGAATTCTTTGTGAATGTCAGACAAAAAGAGGAATCGCTGTTCTGCACATAAACACCAACGACAGTCGTGACTCGATGATCCGACACTAAATGTAAAACCTTCTTCTATGTCGGATATCAAGGCTGTTGGATTGTCCAGACGGAGGTCCAGATACGAGGAGGGCTTGATGCTGGAAGGCTCATTAGTTGTTAAACAAGAATATTTTCTGAATGTTCTGTGATATGAATGTTTTAAACTGCAAGAGACATTTAAACATGTCAGCGAGAGCTTTGGAAACCCAGAATACGTGTTTGTTTTTATGCACCATAACAGGTAAAAATCCTCGATACTGAAGGCAGCTGTTACCGTAGCTGCAGTCCTGCATCACTACCAAGAGGTAAATGAAGCTGCTCAGAGATGTGACTGATCTGATTATTGTCTAACACGGATATTTAAACCAGCGGTGATGTGATTACATCAGGGATCAGATCTGCATTGTTTTATGAGTCATTCTTTACTGGGCTAAACCCTAAACACACGTTTATCTGTCTGCTCCTGCTGTGCCACAGGAGTGAAAACATGTCCGGCGTTTTAATTCATTCAGTTGTCAACAAATATTTAACAACAAAACCCAACAATGCCGGACTCCATGATATCATCAACGACCAGGAGACGACATAAAAACGTGCAACATCTGCATAATTTACTGCAATGTTCAGCCTTCAGTGGATGTTCAGAGCCTAACGATGCATTAGACCAACATCCAGGTTTACGCCACAGCTGCCCGAAATTAACCATCTCTCATGTCTCTGTAATGGTTCATACACCAGCATGTAGAAGATCTTTAATCCAAACGATGTTTTTAATGATAAAATATAATTATTATTGTTATCCATGAATTTCCTAATTTACTGTTTTACAAAAAAAAAAAACAGAAAAAACAGTAAAGCACATTATTATTTATTGATCCAGATGTCAGATTATTTACTCACATTCCTGAACAGAAACATTAGTTTTAGTGGCTGAATGTGATGCTTGATCAGTTTCTCAGAGAAGCCCAGTGAGCTGCTCAGGTTTGGGGATAAAAAGGTGGATTCAGTTTGAAATTCCTCATTCCTGTTCAGAACGGTGAAACATGGAGAGCTGAGTGGCGTTAAATTATATATATATACTTAACAAGTGCTGAACAAGTCAGACAGGTGATCTAATACATCTGTTCAGACCTGCATGTGCACTGAATCCCATCATCATGAAATTCTTTGGTTTTCTGCGCTTCTCAGGATTTAATCTGATTGTGTTTTGTGACTCTGAAGAGCTTCAGTAATCTGATGTCAAGCATCAGGAGACGGCGTCAGGATGGGAATGTGTTTACCTGACGGAGGTGAGCAGCTGTAGGTGCTTTTATAAAACCAAGTGCGAACTATTGATTGACTGCCAGCAGGTCTGACACGAGGCCGACGCACAGCGCCTCTTAAAAATACACGGCAAGTGTCTGATTTAACTGGAGGCTGTGAACACAATGCGCTGCTATGAATGCACATAATAACACACATTCACGTTCAGATAACACACCAAGCAGAGGGTGAAGCGATAACCTTGGCTTCTCTTTGAATCCATCATTGTGACGAAGGCGCTGCACCGTGTTCCCCGTTTGCTTTACTGGCCCATCTAATCACATTATACTTGCTGGACCGTTATGTCGGAGGGTTGGGCAGATGGTGCAGGCGCTGATCAAATGTTGCTGAATATTAAACCGTTTCGCCGCCGTGGCCTCGGGATACATTATCCCAGATCAGATTCTTGTCACATCCACTGAGCGCTGCGTGCAAACACTGATATAAACAGCGTCTGCAGGAGACCACAGAGCTGCACGCCGCGGCAGCAAGCCAGCTCGTATCCACGCAGCTCTCTGTGTGACCTGCATTTTTTACTCTATTTGTTTCATCAGCTCAATAAATCTGTCACAGCTGAGTGACAGCTGACGTCAGAGCTCTGCCTCGCCGCCTGTAACTGACTTCAGCCACTCGGCGTTCAGGTCTGTGTGCCCTGAATACCAGAGGAGACACGATATGAGCATCACTGATCTGGACTCCTTTCATTCCCATTGGTCGATTGGCTGGACTGAACATTCATTTCATCTTCCAGATAAAATATAGAGGCTACCATTTGTACTTAACGCTTGGTGTAAGAAAGAGGGAAATGTTGAAAAACAGCCAGTGACGAATCCGTTTTATTGGCTGTTTTAATAGCGCGGGTCCCCTGAGCCTTATGATAAACCTCTGCAAATACGCACAGACCAAGCCAAGCATGTTTTAAGCCGTGAGCTCTTGAGAGACTCTTGGACAAATTAATAATTCCTAATTGTATGCAACGAGGGTCCCAAACACCCCCGAGAGAGGTGCTGCATGTGGATGGTTTCTTCTGAGGTGCCACGGCTTAGAAACAACGTTCACTCAGCTGTGATTCGGGAAACGTCTGAACCCGTGACGATGGTGCACGAGACGAAGTGATGGAAAAAGTCACAGTATGGAATGAGGTGGATGTAGCAGTAAACACAAAGCTTCACAGACTGCAGCAGAAACAGACACAAGAAGCATTTAAACTAAAGTACAACAGACCAGAACATCAGATGGATGTTGGTCAATGAGGAGACTTTAACTGTCCTTGAGTTTATCCATGAAACCAACATGAATGCCACATTATCCACGATAGAGGGACGAAATGAGCTCCAAGACATCATCCTGCTACCTGAAGGCTGCCTTCATGAAAACTTTCATGGTCTTCATTTTTCATGATTTGCTGATTTAAGGTTTTATTGAAGGATTCAAGAGTTTTTTTTTGTCAGCTGGCTGATATGCAGACTACATGTGCACAGCGAAAAGAACGACGAGACACTAAAAAGGAAGATTTGGCTGCAAAAGGAAATCGGCGGAGCAGGTGTCACCACATAAGACGACTGTTTCGTCTGACCTTTTTAAATCAGACCTGAATGCAATCCAAAGCAAAAAGCATTTTGGTCGTCTTGCACCGTAAGAGAGACGCTCGTAACAGGTTCTATCAGCTTTTCCATAGATATGGAACTCCTCTCCACAATCGAACGAATCAGTCTGGAAAAATGTTATTGAAAAACCTAAATAATGCAGCAGCATCGAGCAGAGCAACATCACTCGGGTGCTTTCAAACAGAGAAACGTGTACGTCAGGAATAAGGCAATAAAGTCATTGACATGTTTCGTAACACGAAGCACCAGAATGTTGAATATTTTAAATTGAAACGAGAGATGACGGCGACAAACGCAGCGGTGAACAGTTTTATATGCATTAGCTTTAATATGAGCCTTTTCTGCAAATAGCCACAAACAAGTGAAGCAAACTTGGCGTTCAAAATCGCTTTCCTGCACAAATTTCAAACTGTATGCGGTGAAGCTCCTCAACACCTCCTGCAGATGATTGTTCTGCCTGTTTCCTGAACCACTTGTTGTGATTCAGGACACAACTGTGGCTCTCTCTAAAAGTGAAGCCTGTAATCGATTCTCCTCGTTGTGTGCTAACCGGGCAGATGGAGATTGAGTGAAACGGCCCTGAGCTTTCTCATGAAGCTTTTTTTCAACCCACCGCTGGAAAGCAATTAGGTGACGGATGAAAGAGACATGAAATAGTTATGAGCTGCTGCGTGCCTTCATTCTGCCCCATTCATCTCCACGTGTGCAGTCAGTTGTTCATGCCCCGGATCTGTCACGTGCCTCCTTCACAAAGCGCACAAAAACTCACGCTGGCTCACCTATGTAGAAGTTGGTCGCCGTCCTCATCTGCCTGTGTTTGGAAATGACATAAATGACCAGAGAGTTGCCGACCAGCCCCACCAGCATGATGAGAGAGAAGAACAGGGGGACCAGCCAGGCGTCCGTCAGGAAGGGATGCTGACCTCCCTCCTCCTCGTCCTCCTCGTCCCCGCGTCTTCCCAGAGAGAAGTTCGCCTCGGATCCGTTGATCCAGACGCGGTCGGTGGAGTTCCACAGCTCCTCGGAGGCGTACATGGTGACGGAGGGATGACTAGGAGGGAGGCGAGAGGAGGAGAAGGTATGGAAGGAGGAGGTGGCAGTCAGGAGGCAGAGGGTGCAGCCTGCATGCAGCGAGAGTCCTCAGGCGACAGTCGGCAGGAGAAGACTTTGGATGGAGAAAGAGGTGAAGAGGAAAGACAACACAAGACAAACCGGAGGAATGTGGGGTGAGTGGGAGGAGATCAGCTGCAGAAACAAAGCTTGGATTTGTGAAAGAAAGCAGCTAGATGAAAAGGTAGGAAGGTTGATGGAGACACGATGGAACAAAAGACTCCAAAGTGCTCATGTCATTCACTCGCAGCCCCAAGTAGGAACATGGAGAGAAATCAGATGTGTTGGTGTGAACAGGACAGAAGAGAGGACGACTGAGAGGAGGAGGAACAACACATCACACCTCCGAGCTTTCAGCATGCCGTGTTTCTGACTGTCAGCGTCCAGCCAGCCGGAGAGGCAGATAAAAGTCCTCAAATACCCACAGACAAACAATCCAGCCCGCTTGTAGCGTCCTTTCCTTTCGATGAGTTTGTTTTCAGCTCAGCGCCGCTCTTCGTTCCAGCTTTTATTCCCAGTCTGTCTCGCAACCTTCCTTTTTTTTTTTTTTTTTTTTTGCTTCAGAGGAAAAAAGAACTTGATTCAGAAAAGGTTAGTGTAGGAGTGAGCATTCGCTCTGCAGCCTTGACAAAACTGTGCCTGACAAAACGCTTTGTATTGAAAAAGAAAAGGAGAAGGAGAGGACCTCGAGCACCGTCCGCTGCTCATCCTCCGAGCCGAGCTGAGCTGAATCTAATCTGTGCTTCGGCAGAGAGCTGAGCGACGGAGACGCTGGCGGCTTTATACTACGATGGAGAGCGAGGACACACAGACGGGGAGAGGAGGCTGCATGCACGTGGGCTACTGTATGACTTTGGGATAAACAGCTGATGTCAGGGTCTCCTAGCAACCATATCCCTCAATCTATGCTTCAGTTACCCAAAAATGTAAAAAAATTAAATTCCTCCAACCCCTCCATCTCATGCACGCAGTGAATTACTGCAACAGCAGCACTGTCAAAGGGAGGAAGGACAATAAAAGTTATATTAAAAACTACATGATTTACTTTGGACCAAAAACACATTAATTTCGAGCAGCATTTTTTATCTGAAAAAGTGTAATTAGATGATCATTTGACGATATGTGGTCAAAATGAATGAAGCAGAAAAACTTTCCAGTAAAGACATACAGGACTTAACAAACTCATTTCAAACCAAAGTCACCTTTTGATGCCCAGACGTGAGCCGGCTCGCTGAGAAACTAATCAAGCGGAACATTCAACCTCATGTTTCTGTTCAGGAATGCAAGTAAATAATTAGAATTTGACATCTTAATCAAGAAATAATAATGAGCTTCACTATTTTTTCTGGGTTTTTTTTCTTTTTTTTTTTTTCATAAAACAATAAATTAGAAAATTCCTGGATGACAATAATTATATTTTAGCATTAAAAGCATCATTCTGGTTAAAGAGCTTCTACATGCTGGTGTATGAACCATTAGAGAGACATGAGAAATGATCAAATTTAGGGCAGCTGTGGCGTAAACCTGACATTGGGTGGAGGTCTAATACATCTGTTAAGCACCGTACACTAGATACAGCCTGTGATACAGATGTTCAACCATGAGCTCAGTTTTCAAAACGCATTTCACTTTCTTAAAGTGGCAGATTTCATACAACCGGTATGAAGCTGTTGACCTTTATCTCTCTTTATGTGAAGCTTCAGTGGAAGGAATACAACATCCAAACCAACACTGTGAAGCGACTGACTTGTCCAAAGCAAACACTGGTGTGCAAGCAAATGATCTATTTATGAATGTATATCATGTACACACCACTAGACCAGCATGTACCCACATATGCAGGAACAGACTCTGGTGTGGATGTCCAGATCACGTCTCACGCCTCCGATCCGATCTGAGTCGTTAAATATTCAGTATCTGCCGATATCCAGTCCCAATCTAACGCCAGTGTCTCCGGTAATACACATTTCTAGTGCATTAAAATTATTAGAATCGATGACAGCTGAATATCTCTGCAAAGCAAAAAAAATTAAATTAAAAAAAAGCATTTCTGCATCTAAGTTGTTCCTTAATGCTCCGCATGTTGTAGAGGGTGGAGTGTGGCTACACAAGGTCAAAAAGAAAAACAGAAAACCTGAATTCTCTACATCAGAGAATGTGTTGAGGATCAGCTGTAGTACCTGCTTGTTCCACCAGGTGGAGCCTCTTCCTGTTTCATACTGTGGAGACCAGAGGAGGCGTCACTTGAACTTCTGGCAGCTCCTGTTGGCAGCAGAGATTATTTATCTGGCAACGGGCACCATGACAAAGACGACTGTGACAGTTGACGAGCTCGTGTTTAAGCCGAGGATCTCAGAGCAGCAGGACGAATGTCTGCTGTGCTGATTTGTTGTGAAATTTGTTGATTGATAATGCTGCAGATTATAGATTAGGAAATGTATTTAGAATTTGCATCCTTCGAGTCCTGCCTCGACACCAGTGTGACAACAGACCTAAACAGAGGACCCGGTTCAGGTTTGTCGACTTAAAAATGCCCCGATCATCCCTGATTTTTGAGATTGAATCGGGACGTTGGCGTTGCAAGATGCTAAAGCACAACTGAAGTACGAGAGAGGCGCACATGCCATCCCATCTGCTGCACAGCTGACTGGAAAAAGGAGTCACATCAGGGAACGCTGAGGTCCGAGCAGCACATCACTGATGCACCTCCAGGCACAGCTCGGTCCAGATCAGCTTCTTCTGAGAACGCAAAGTAAAATAGAAACCGTTTTTCATTGCCCTTCAGACAACCAACTGTTTAGCAGTTTTCCTTAAACCCCTGAAGGAGGCTCCCTGGAGAGAGACGATCAGCAAACATACAAGGTTCAGTAAAACGCAGCATGACTTCCTGCCACAACCTGTAATTCATGTCTACGTGCGTCCATGAAACGTTAACCTCGTAGGATCATGACCACAAAAGAGTTCAGTCAAGACATGAATGGTGAACACAGTCTTTGTTCTATATACACATCTTTTTTTTTATTTTGTTAAAGAACCAAAAGGAAACGATGCTGCTGTTCCTGGTGTTCAGTGTCCTCCATCTTTCTTTAGATAGATGGACCTTGCTAATGGTGCCCTCCACTCTCTGCCATTGTACTAAAATGAGGGAGGAAGGAGGAAAGAGGGGGAGTCAGACAGCAGAACAACAACCACCAGGTGAATGTAATTGCAGCCAATTACTGCAGCCACTTGGGTGAACATAAAGGAGCCTCTCTGCACACCTGAGCTCACAGCCTGTGGACCATCTGATACAAGGGACATTAACCAGCGTCCTGCTGCTAACTGCAGCTGTTAATGGACGACATGTTGCTCCTCAGTCCACCTGCAGCAACACACGGTGAGTGGAAAGTCCAATCAAAGCTTCCAAAGCCACGACATCATCATCTGGGCTTTCCCAAAGAGTCTGAAGGCATCTTAGTGGACGTGAACTTCTGACTTTGAAGAAAGTAGTAAACAATCCTCTCTCTCATTATTCTGGTGTTTAGCAAATAGACATAATGTTGGTGATCCTGACTGAGCTGAAACAGGAAACGTTGAGTCTGATTTAATGTCAGACGGTGAGAATAAAAGGTTTGATGTGTTTTTATACAGAAGATGTAAACTTCTGGTTTCAGCTGCAACTAATTTATGATAATCTGTGTTTAGTTGAGTTTGGTGAATCCATCTGCCAAATCCAAACAAAATAAAGTCATTATGATCAAAGTCAGATAACTCACCGTGTCCATGGGATTGTTTTACCGCCGTACTGACTGATGCTAATCACTGACTCATCCCAGACTGTGATTGATTATCTGGAAAATGATCCATTGTTGTTTTTCCATAAAAATAACACGGACAAGTAACCAAGCTGGCAGTTAAAAAACAAAAACTAATGAACGGCTGAGTTTGAAGTAGATCAGATGAACAGCAGCCATCTTGGGTTTGTCTTGTGCTCTGGCTGTTGCTAGGCAACACCACCACAGGTACTACTCATACATGAAGGTCCAGATTCTAGAAGAACCTCCAAGTGAAACTCTGAGTGCCTCTGTCTGGAAACAGCAGACAGAGACCTTTCAGGACCAGACGAGAGCAGAGAGCTGCTGAACATTCAGAGTTCACAGCAAGTTTCAACAACGACAGCAAACCCACAGACTGATTATAGGACAAAGTTAAAGCTGTTGTACTGAGCAGAAGATGAAACAGACACTTACAACTAATGACTGATTGGAGACAATGTGGTTGCTCATCTCTCCTCACGTCCCTCAGACGGTAATCAGGCCAAACTGGTTTCAAAGGCATCATGTGAACAAACTGGTATGTAAAGAGTTAAATCCTGAAAATGGACGAATATTTGCTTTTTACAATCAGGACTGATGTTGGATAAAACCATAAGTTCTCTGAAAGTAGAAGAACATTGGTTTTTCTCAAGTAAATGACAACACAATAAATGATAAAGTATAATTGGGTGTCATAATGTAAGTTTAGCGACTTATGCCACAACCTCATGTCCAGCATATTGTCAAAAGTATTGGGACGCACCCCCGTTCACCTCCAGTAAAGCCCCAAGTTTTTCACACCCATGTCAACTATTAAGTATTATTTTACAGTGGACATGTACATTTTAAATATTTTCAATAGTGACCTTTACAAAGTTGCTGTTTAGTTTGTTTTGTGTTTTCACAGCGCAGGTATGAACAGGACTGGTTCTGATCGGCTCGTCTTTCTGCTCACTGCTGCTGAACGTCGGTGATAACTGTGATCAGGATTGTTCTTCTGGGATCTTTGTCGTTCCTTTGAGCTGAGACGGTTGCAGGAACGCTCCTCAACTAAGAAAAGAACCCTTTTGACCCGGAACAGATCAAGATCACAGAACTTTGACGGTCTCCATGTTCAGCAGTTCTAAGCAG